ACGACCTCCTGTACACCCGGCGAGGGAGTGAATGTCTCCTGGCCACGTGATTGGTCGTGGCCTCGAGCGGCTGCGGGAGCCACGTGACCCCCTAGAGAAATGCCCTTTCTTGCGAGCGGTGTTCATCGATGCATCAACACCGCCCCCCCCCCACCACCTGTATTCTAGAAACACGGAATTTCCACATTCCTATGGCAGGGGCAGTCCATCCTCAAACACCACAATGGCAGCAACAAAGATCCCCCGTGTAGCATCTATAGACTGTTGGGGCAAGTGCTGTTCGTAGCACCCATGAACCACCATCCCACAATCGCCATTAATCATCACCGTGGGGTGGGGAAAACAAGAGTACCGCTTTGTGGGGCAGTCGAATTTGCTCATCCTGACTCTCGTGGTGACCGGTCCTCGTCCTAGGAATGTGGAATTTCGGGGCGAGGTGTATCTTGTTCCATACAAACACAATGACGATGTATACACACACACCGAGTAGAACCCCTCTTCACGAGAACCCCTGTGAGCAACGACCCTCCACAGAGCCCAGATTATAGTGTATAGTGTAGTGTATAGTGTAGTGTATAGTGTAGTGTGTAGTAGTGTATAGTGTACTGTATAGTGTAGTGTATAGTGTAGTGTATAGTGTAGTGTATAGTAGTGTATAGTGTAGTGTATAGTAGTGTATAGTGTAGTGTATAGTAGTGTATAGTGTTGTGTATAGTAGTGTATAGTGTAGTGTATAGTAGTGTAGGGTGTAGTGTAGTGTATAGTAGTGTAGTGTATAGTAGTGTATAGTGTAGTGTATAGTATTGTATAGTGTAGTGTATAGTGTAGTGTATAGTAGTGTATAGTGTAGTGTATATTGTGTAGTAGTGTAGTGTATAGTAGTGTAATGTATAGTGTAGTAGTGTATAGTAGTGTAGTGTATAGTGTAGTGTATAGTGTAGTGTATAGTGTAGTGTATAGTAGCGTAGTGTATAGTGTAGTGTGTAGTAGTGTAGTGTATAGTAGCGTAGTGTATAGTAGTGTAGTGTATAGCAGTGTAGTGTATAGTAGTGTATAGTAGTGTAGTGTATAGTAGTGTAGTGTATAGTGTAGTGTATGGTGTAGTGTATAGTGTAGTGTACAGTAGTGTATAGTGTAGTGTATAGTACTGTATAGTGTAGTGTATAGTAGTGTATAATAGTGTATAGTGTGGTGTATAGTTGTGTATAGTGTAGTCTATAGTGTAGTGTATAGTAGTGTAGTGTATAAGTAGTGTATAGTGTAGTGTATAGTAGTGTATAGTAGTGTAGTATATAGTGTAGTGTATAGTAGTGTATAGTAGTGTAGTGTATAGTAGTGTAGTGTATAGTGTAGTGTATAGTAGTGTAGTGTATAGTGTAGTGTATAGTAGTGTAGTGTATAGTTGTGTAGTGTATAGCAGTGTAGTGTACAGTGTAGTGTACAGTGTAGTGTATAGTAGTGTATAGTAGTGTAGTGTATAGTAGTGTAGTATATAGTGTAGTGTATAGTAGTGTAGTGTACAGTGTAGTGCATAGTAGTGTAATGTATAGTGTAGTAGTGTAGTGTATAGCAGTGTAGTGTATAGTGTAGTGTACAGTGCAGTGTACAGTGTAGTGTAGTGCCTCGATAGACCTCAATGTGTTCGCTTATCGACCATTCCCTTTATAACGATGGGCTGTTGTTGGTTCAGTAAATATTAATTAATGCATTAATTAACCGTGTTTATTTAAATATTATGTGTAAGCATATTGTTAGTACTTTTCTGTATTAATATCCAATGTTTAAATGTTAAAACATTTGTGGGCGAAAGAGGGTAACTTTCGATGCTATCGGAGCGAATGAAGCCTTGAACCGTGCATTTCCCCCACTCGCTTCACGACCAAATCACCAAACGACCGGTTTCGTGGAACCGAAGCCCGCCGCCGTCAAGAGGGGTTCTACCGTGAGTCAAGAGGGGTTCTACCGTGAGTCAAGAGGGGTTCTACCTTGAGTCAAGAGAGGTTCTACCGTGAGTCAAGAGGGGTTCTACCGTGAGTCAAGAGGGGTTCTACCGTGAGTCAAGAGGGGTTCTACCGTGAGTCAAGAGGGGGTCTGCCGTTGTTTATAAACAGAGCTGACTCAGACAGGGGCGGAAACAGCTTTTGGCCAGGGGGTCTTCATCCAGCAGTGGATGATGCAGGTTTAACGATTCAACTAAATAACCACGATGCGGGGAGTTCGTATTGTGTGGGACTTCAGAATAATTAGTGGTCATCAGCGAGCCATGCCAACTACAGGGGCCGCTATATTTACGCAGCTCATCGCAGTCGTTGGTGCTCATCAGTGAGCCATGCCCTCCTATGGGCTGCTGCCTATGACATCCAATTTGTGCTCATCGTAGTTACGAGTGCTCATCGGTGAGCCGTGCCAGCCACAGGGCTGCTACGAATTCCAATCGTACCAGTTTAACACGTAGGCTCTCACGACCAACGTTATCCACAATGGAGGTGTTTGTAGGTTTAGATCACGTAAAATATAAATGCGTCGTTAAACCCGCCACCACCAGACACAGCCCATTAGTGAGGTTTCTCGCGTAAACAGAACGTGCCAAATCGTTACAGCACCACCGGTCGTGTGTGGGAGAGTAAACCCACTACAACGTTCACAATCTGAGTACGACATTTCGCCAGTAATTACAACTGGCATCTTCAGGCAACAGGCAGAGTCGTGGAGAAATCCTCCTGCTTCCTTCTTAAACGAATTTCTCCACAATTCTGGCTGTCACCTGATGATGCTGGTTGCAATTACTGGCGAAACTGCCCAACACACAACCGTTCAGTGCTGAACCAGTCACTAATTGGCACGTTTTGTTCACGTGACAAACCTCGCTGATTGGCCGTGACGGGTGGCGACGGTGTTTAACGACAGACGGCTCGCACGAGGAGCGGCGCCATCGCCGGAGCGCAAGGCCACGCCTCAGTTCGAAGGAAAGAGAGAGCAAGGAAACACCGTATAGACCCTGGAACGTCACCCGCGTTTTGCATCCGGGCGCGGGCGAGCGCTCGCGCGCGTCGCGAGACTGGATGGAACGGCGCCGTGCGACGGCGAGCGTCTCACGGTCGGGGTCGCCGGGTTTGCCGCCGAATGCCACCGTGGAATACACCGCCGTTGTCGTTTATCCGTTGTGCTTTTTGTTGTTGTTGTTGTTGTTGCTGCCAAGTGCAAAAGAACATTCGCTCTGAAGTTTCTCAGCAGCAGTTCGCTTCCTCCGCGGAAAACCCCGCGCCTGGAGTCTTGCCGCTGGGCCGTGCGTCACCGCGGTCAGTCGGAGCGATCAAAACGAGTGGGAGGGCGCGGCATCGGTCGCGTATCCACCGCACGGACAGCGGGGTTTGGCACGCTTTAATCTTACAGCTCTTAGTTTTTTTTTTAGTTTGAGTCAACACTTAATATCGTGGTACTTTCATTTGCTTCCGTAAGTTGGTTTATCATTGTGTCGGAGAAGTGAAAATATATTTAATTTTTTTAATTGCGAATGCGGCGATGGGCGTCTTTTACTGGTGGAACGGGCGGACTAGTCCACTCAGCTACCCCAACACGACCACACGTACCCCGGTGGAACGGGCGGACTAGTCCACTCAGCTACCCCAACACGACCACGCGTACCCCGGTGGAGCGGGTGGACTAGTCCACTCGGCTACCCCAACACGACCACGCGTACCCCGGTGGAACGGGTGGACTAGTCCACTCGGCTACCCCAACACGACCACGCGTACCCCGGTGGAACGGGTGGACTAGTCCACTCGGCTACCCCAACACGACCACGCGTACCCCGGTGGAACGAGTGGACTAGTCCACTCAGCTACCCCAACACGACCACGCGTACCCCGGTGGAACGAGTGGACTAGTCCACTCAGCTACCCCAACACGACCACATGTACCCCGGTGGAACGAGTGGATTAGTCCACTCGGCTGGCACCCCGGATGCTGCCGTGGAATGAGTCGCAGCGTTCACCGATTCGGAGGAGAAATGTCTCGATTGGAGGAACGCTGATCAGGCCGTGACGATGCGGGGCACGACGGACGGCACGACCGGCGGTGATCGCGCATCACGGTACCACGGCGGCCCCGGTCCCGTGGTCTCGTGACTCCCGGGTGTGTGTGTGTGCGTGTGTACGTACGTACGTGACACGTTTAACATCACCGTAAGCTATCGGGAGTGTTCACCCTCGTTATAACGGTGTCGATCCGCACAACTCTGTGTTCCACAATTCCGAACCGCGTGCGCGCACAATCGCACGCACAAAAGACAAACATCTCCCGTGTAGCCCTAACAGACCGTTGGGGCAAGTGCTGTTAGCGAGCACCTATGAAGGCCGGCACAGCACACGAGGGGGTGGGTGGCCAGCACCACGCCCGGCTGCCTTTTTTTCCCCAGTGGCGATGTTTACACACCGCACCGGGTACTCATTTGAGGCTGAGTTGACCTACGGTAGGCCCAGATATTCGTCACCGATGTTGGCCGTGAGCAGGAATCGAACTTGGGTCGCCCGGTTTGTAGAACAGCGCGCTAACCGCTACATTACCGTTCCCCACACAATTGCACACACGCACACACAGTGATACACACATACACACACCGGCGCCTCCACCGCCACCTCTACCATCACCACCACCGCTCTCGCCCCGCGGTTGTGGCGGTCGGTGAAGCGCCGTGCGCATGCGGGAGAGTCAACGGCGGTCGCCCAGAGCCGGCCTCGCGGCCACAGAAACGTGGAATTTCCATTCGCCGCACCGGCTCGGGCGGCGACGGTCGCTCGCGCGCGAGGTGCCGGCGGGGCCGGCCACGGTTCGCCCGGCGAGGCGGCGGGGCGGTGGGGTGACCGTGCCGCGACCGGCACTCGCCGCAACCTCCCCCCCACCGCCCCGTCGCGTTACGGTCGGCGACCCCCCCCACGAACCCCCCGGGTGGGTTCTGCTATCTCCACCGCCGCCCACTCCGCCACAATATACAACATTCCCCCCACATTCCCCCCCACACCCCCACCGCAACCGCCGCAATCGCCGCAATCGCTCGCGCGCGACGCGCCGGCCGGAGCGATCACAGGTACAGGTAGGTCACCCAGTAGACGAGGTTGAAGAGGGCGAACGAGGTGGGGAAGAAGATGCGAGCGTAGGAGTCGAGCTGCACGATGTGGATGTGGGCCCTGCCCTGGCGCCACGCGCCGCTCCGGCACTCGTCCACGCAGCAGAAGAACCCCGAGCAATCCTTTCCCTCGAGGCAGTCGGCGGCGGCGGCGACGCCGGCGGCGGGGGGGCACCCGGACCGCGGCGGGGGGGGCGTCGGAGGGGGAGGGGCTGCGAGGCGCGGAGGCGCCAGGGCGTTGTTGAGACGCTCGGAGCGCATGCGCACCTTGAGCAGCCCGTGGTAGTGGCTCTGTGTGGGGGGTGGGGGAGGAGAGAGACATTGCAAGAGTGATTGAGGAGGAAGTGGCGACCAAGACGATCTGAGCAGTCGAGGCTCAGCGTCTCTCACTCGGCCATCGCAAGCCTCCCCGTGGGTGTCTATCCACCCCCCCCGCCCCCGTGACTCACCTGTGGGGGCCGTGGCGGGGGCTTCTCCTTGGGCTTCTTGCCGGCGTTCTGCTTCTGCTGCATGACGAAGAAGGTGAGCGTGGCGTACTCGATCATGGCGGCGAAGACGAAGAAGAAGCACACCGTGACGAAGAGGTCCATGGCCGTGGCGTACGACACCTTGGGCAGCGTCTTGCGCGAGATGGTGCTCAGCGTCGTCATCGTGAGCACCGTCGTGATGCCTGCACGGGGCAGGGGGGGGTAAGGAAGGAGCGGGGGAGAAGAGGGGGTGAGAGAGGTAGAGAAGGGAGGTGGAGGAGAGGGAGTACGGGAGGAGGAGACGCTGAGTGAGCGAACTGTGAGAGTGACAGTCACTCATTGGGGTTCTATGCAGGTGTGACCCCAAGTGTCACCCCAAGTGTCACTCCAGGTGTGACTCCAGGTGTCACTCCAGGCATCACCCCAGGTATCACCCCAGGTGTAACCCCAGGTGTCACTCCAGGTGTCACCCCAGGTGTCACCCCGGGTGTGACCCCAGGTGTGACCCCAGGTGTGACCCCAGGTGTGACCCCAGGTGTGACCCCAGGTGTGACCCCAGGTGTCACTCCAGGTGTCACTCCAGGTGTCACCCCGGGTGTGACCCCAGGTGTCACTCCAGGTGTCACTCCAGGTGTCACTCCAGGTGTGACCCCAGGTGTCACCCCAGGTGTCACCCCAGGTGTCACCCCAGGTGTGACCCCAGGTGTCACTCCGGGTGTCACCCCAGGTGTCACCCCAGGTGTCACCCCAGGTGTGACCCCAGGTGTCACTCCAGGTGTGACCCCAGGTGTCACCCCAGGTGCCACCCCAGGTGTCACCCCAGGTGTCACCCCAGGTGTGACCCCAGGTGTGACCCCAGGTGTCACCCCAGGTGTCACCCCAGGTATCACCCCAGGTGTCACCCCAGGTGCCACAATCTCGGGGCCGCTGGGAATGCGGTGGCCGCCGTGCGTGGATTTGCGTGCCCACCCAGGGCGGTGCGTGCCGGCGTGGCGTCTCTGTTGATCCAGAAGGAGACCCAGGACAGCACGACGATGAGGATGCAGGGGATGTACGTCTGGATGGTGAAGTAGCCCATCCTCCGCACCAGCTCAAAGTACACGGCCATCACGACATAGTCGCCTGCCACGGAGACACGGAACCACCGCCGGGAACGCTGGCGGTCAGCGGACGATGCTGGCCGGGTCTGACGTCGTAGCGAGTTGCGCAGAGTGCCGTGCGTGGGTCTCCCTGGAAGCATCGGGTGCCGCGGTGGCCAGGAGATGTTGACTACCTCGCCTGCTATGCAGGAGGTCGTGGGTTCGATCCCAATCCTGACAATGCCTGCTGCTGTATATTTGGAGTTTGCGTGTCTCTCTCTCATCATCATCAAGATGGCCAGGAGATGTTAACTACCTCGCGCGGTGTACAGGAGGTCGTGGGTTCGATCACGACCCTGACGACACCTGCTGCTGTCTATTTGGAGTTTGCGTGTATCGTGGATTTTTTTATCCGGGTCCTCCGGTTTTTCCCTCCACATTTAGAATCCACGGCCACGCGTTCAGAGTGTTTGAATGTTGCTGTAAATCTCCACGCGATAAGCCACTCGGTCGAGCTATCATTTGCGGAGTAGCCCGGTCACTTCTGAAAAAGAGCTTCACTCCTGGTGAAAATTAAACAAAACCAGAGTTTCACGCCACTTGTGCTGAAACCAAAACAATAGCTGGGCTCGCTCCTTCGCCCGACAACTTAAATTGCGTCTGTGTCGGGTGGAGAAGGGGTGCACGACACAACATTGGCATCGTGTGGCGCGGGGGCGATGGCGTTCGCATCGTCAGTCCTGAAAAAAGCCGCCATGACGTGCCTCCCCCCCCCCCCCCCCCCGCTCTGAGATGTCATGACAGAAGCCGCCACGGCTGGAGAGAGTGAAGGGCTACCGTGGTTGTGGGTCGTGGTTGTGGGTCGTGGTTGTGGTTGTGGCTGTGGTTGTGGCTTTGGTTGTGAATTGAGATCGTGGTTGTGGTTGTGGGTCGTGGTTGTGGTTGTGGCTGTAGTTGTGGCTGTGGTTGTGGTTGTGGGTCGTGGTTGTGGCTGTGGTTGTGAATTGAGATCGTGGTTGTGGCTGTGGTTGTGAATTGAGATCGTGGTTGTGGCTGTGGTTGTGAATTGAGATCGTGGTTGTGGCTGTGGTTGTGAATTGAGATCGTGGTTGTGGCTGTGGTTGTGAATTGAGATCGTGATTGTGGCTGTGGTTGTGGCTGTGGTTGTGGCTGTGGTTGTGGGTCGTGGTTGTGGCTGTGGTTGTGAAATGAGATCGTGGTTGTGGCTGTGGTTGTGAATTGAGATCGTGGTTGTGGTTGTGGCTGTAGATTGAGATCGTGGTTGTGGCTGTGGTTGTGAATTGAGATCGTGGTTGTGGTTGTGAATTGAGATCGTGGTTGTGGCTGTAGTTGTGGCTGTAGACGGTGGTTGTGGCTGTGGCTGTAGACGGTGGTTGTGGCTGTGGTTGTGGCTGTAGACGGTGGTGGTGGCGGCCAGTACCGGAGGGAGTCTTGAGAATGTTGGTGATGTTTCGCAGGCCGACGAACGAGAACTGGTAGAGCTTCCAGTTCTGCTGGTTAGCGAGCTCCACTGAGCTGCTGCTCCAGCGGTAGATAATCTCGTCCTTCGGGTAGCCGTCTTGCACAACAACAACAACAATCAAACGACATCGTCAACAACAACAATCAAACAACACCGTCAACAACAACAACAACAATCAAACAACATCGTCAACAACAACAATCAAACAACACCGTCAACAACAACAACAATCAAACAACATCGTCAACAACAACAATCAAGCAACATCGTCAACAACAACAACAACCAAACAACATCGTCAACAACAACAATCAAACAACATCGTCAACAACAACAACAACATCGTCGTCGTCGAAGCGTGCATGGGTGTCCGTGTGTGTGTGCGTGGGTGTCCGTGTGTGTGTGCGTGGGTGTCCGTGTGTGTGTGGGTATCCGTGTGTGTGTGTGCCCGTGTGTGTGTGTGTGGGTGTCCGTGTGTGTGTGCGTGGGTGTCCGTGTGTGTGTGCGTGTGTGTCCGTGTGTGTGTGTGCCCGTGTGTGTGTGCGTGTGTATGTGTGCGTGGGCATCCATGTGCGTGCGTGGGTGTCCGTGTGTGTGTGCGTGGGTGTCCGTGTGTGTGTGGGTATCCGTGTGTGTGTGCCTGTGTGTGTGTGTGTGTGGGTGTCCGTGTGTGTGTGCGTGGGTGTCTGTGTGTGTGTGCGTGTGTGTCCGTGTGTGTGTGTGCCCGTGTGTGTGTGCGTGTGTATGTGTGCGTGGGCATCCATGTGCGTGCGTGGGTGTCCGTGTGTGTGTGCGTGGGTATCCGTGTGTGTGTGTGCGTGGTGACCCGAGTTTGATTTAGCTCACGGCCACCAACACCAGTGACGATTATCCTAACCGGTCCTGGGCCTCCTCTAGGTCGACTCGGCCTCAAACGAGTACCCGTTGTGGTGTGTAGTAAACATCGCCACTGGGGAGACAAAGGCGGTCGGGCGTGGTGTTGACTACCCACCGACTCGTGCACCGTGCCGGTCTTCATAGGTGCTGCTCGCTAACAGCACTTGCCCCTACAGTCTGTTAAGGCTACACGGGGGACCTTTGTCTTTGTGTGCATGCGTGTGTGCGTGTGTGTGCGCGTGTGCATGTGTGTGTGTGTGCGTGTGTGTGTGCGTGTGCATGCATGCGTGTGTGTGCGTGTGCATGCATGCGTGTGTGTGCGTGCGTGTGTGTGCGTGCGTATGTGTGCATGCATGCGTGTGTGTGCGTGTGCATGCATGCGTGTGTTTGTGTGTGCGTGTGCATGCGTGTGTGTGCGTGTGTGTGTGCGCGTGTGCGTGTGTGTGTGCGCGTGTGCATGCATGTGTGCGTGTGTGTGTGCGTGGGTGCATGCGTGTGTGCATGCGTGTGTGTGCATGCGTGTGTGCTTGGGTGCATGCGTGTGTGTGCGTGTGTGCATGCGTGTGTGTGTGCTTGGGTGCATGCGTGTGTGCGTGTGTGTGTGCGTGTGCATGCATGCGTGTGTGTGCGTGTGTGTGCGTGTGTGTGCGTGTGCATGCATGCGTGTGTGTGCGTGTGTGTGTGTGCGTGTGTGTGGAGCGATAGTGTAGCGGTTAGCGCGCTGCGCTATGAACCTGGCGACCCGGGGTCGATTCCCGCTCACGGCCAACACAAGTGACGATTATCTGAACCGGTCCCGGGCCTCCCCTAGGTCGACTCAGCCTCAAATAAGTACCTCGTGCGGTGTGTAAACATCGCCACTAGGGAGACAGTTCCGGCCTTCATAGGTGCCACTCGCTAACAGCACTTGCCCCTACAGTCTGTTAAGGCTATATGGGGGATCTTTTATCTGTGCGTGCGTGTGCGTGCGTGCGTGTGCGGAGGGAGGGGCTGCTCACAGCTGGAGAACTCGAGGGGGCACGCGTGCTCGTCCATGGGGAAGTTGTGGAGCGCCAGCTGACACTCGGCGTGAATAGTCAGCCTGCAGCGCAGCGCGCACACACGTGGCGGGGTGAATAGTCAAACCGGTGAATAGTCAAACCGGTGAATAGTCATACCGGTGAATAGTCATACAGGCGAAGAGACGACTTGGTGAATAGTCATAGGGGCGAATAGTTAGAGATGATAGCAGAGAGACGAGTAGAGTGTAGACCACGTGACCCCCCCCCCTCTCACCTGAGAGTGTAAACCACGTGACCCCCCCTCTCACCTGACAGTGTAGAGCACGTGACCCCCCTCTCACCTGAGAGTGTAGACCACGCGACCCCCCCTCTCACCTGAGAGTGTAGGCCACACGACCCCCCACTCTCACCTGAGAGTGTAGACCACGTGACCCCCCCTCTCACCTGAGAGTGTAGACCACGTGACCCCCCCTCTCACCTGAGAGTGTAGAGCACGCGTCCCGTGTTCCAGATCCTCAGCAGCTGGTTAGGCGTCGTGATCCAGTGCGTGTCGGCCATCTTGGAGTTGCGGAAGAACGTGTCGGGGATCCAGATCTTGCCCACCATGTTGCTGTTGAGGCGCAGCACCTTCATGGTGTGGTTGAAGCGCAGGCGACTGTCGTGCCACGTCTGGGCGAAGAAGAGGTCGATGGTGTACTCCTGCCACACGGGACACACACACACACGGGACACACACACACACGGGACACACACACACGGCACACACACACACACGGGACACACACACGGCACACACACACACGGGACACACACGGGACACACGCGGGACACACACACACACGGCACACACACACACGGGACACACGGGACACACACACACGGCACACACACACGGGACACACACACACACACACGACACACACACACACACGGCACACACACACACGGGACACACGCGGGGCACACGGGACACACACACACGACACAAACACACGGGACACACACACGGCACACACACACACGGGACACACAGACACACGGGACACACACACACGGGACACACACACACGGCACACACACGGGACACACACACACGGCACACACACACGGGACACACACACACACACGACACACACACACACACGACACACACACACACACGGCACACACACACGGGACACACACACACGAGACACACACACACACACGGGACACACACACACGGCACACACACACGGGACACACACACACACGGGACACACACACACGGGACACACATACACGGCACACACACACGACACATGGGGGACATCGCTCCCTTCCTTCTGCCGTGTAGCTCACACGCGTGCGTGCGTGCGCGTGGTCGTTGTTCAACGCGCGCGTGTCCTTGTCCATTGACGTGGTCAGTATCAGCAGGGCCTGGGGTAACTCATTTAAGGCTGAGTCGACCTAGGGGAGGCCCAAGACTGAGTTCACATGTTCATCACCGAGGTTTGCATTGACCGTGAGCGGGGAGCGAACAGGGCTGTCCGGGTTCGTGGCGCCACCGCACTCCCCACAATCACACAATCACACACACAATCACACACTCACACACACAATCACACACAATCACAACACACACAATCACACACAATCACAACACACACAATCACACACAATCACAACAACAACCGCCATTCGCCACTAAGTGGCGGTGACGTCACCACGACGCTTGTGCCAGGCTATGTGCACCCTGAGGCCACGTGAAGTGTCGAACACCCGCTGGCAGGAGGTCACGGGGCAGACCCAGGTGCCACGGGTCGACTGACTTAGATGACTGGCTGATGCACCACCTGTGCCCCCTACTGTGCCAACCTGCTGTGCTTTAGCCACCCGGCGCTCCGCTCGTTGTTCTGAGCGTCGCTCCTCCGCCCTCCGTTGTTGTTGGAGGGCGACTGCCTCCAACTGCCCAGTAGCGTCCTTCACGAGCCTCCTCCACAGAGGCCGATCTTGACACCGCTGGTACCAGTCATCGGCAAGTCCACTCAGCTCCACGTCCTCCTGTACCACATCACTCCATCTCTTCTCTAGCCCGTTCCGCGCCTGCTTAGCCCCCTCGATCCGGCCAAACAAAAGCTGTTTCGGCATGTGGTGGCTGGGCATGCGGGCTACATGACCCAGCCATCGCAGCCTTGCCTGCCGGAGGAGCTCACCGATGGGACCCTTCCCCAGATCTTTCAAGGATTTGTGAGCTCCTCACACAATCCAGTCTGGTTAAACCCAGGATGGATCGTAGGCAGGCCAGCCTAAATGTTTCTAACCGGCGAAGATGTTCCATTAGGGGGGTCCACGTTTCGCAAGCGTAGAGAAGGGAGGGAATGACCATGGCCGAGAAGACCTGAAGCTTAGTGCGGAGTGCCAGACCAGGTAGCTTCCACACAGCGTTACGCAACCGATGAAAAGATATTGCCGCTCGACTGATTCGGAGTGAGACCTCTGCTGTTAAACTGGAGCCAGTCATAAGCACACTGCCCAGGTATGGGAAACTCTCCACTCTCTCCACAACTGCCCCATCACCGATTGGGAGTTGTGGGGGTGGAGTGTCCGATGGTACAAAATACCCAGGCAGGTGCTTAGTTTTGGTGGGGCTGATGGTAAGGCCCCACCTCTTAGTGGCACGCTCCAGTCTCAGCAGCAGCGTCTCCAACTCCTCCTCTGACTGAGCAGCTATTACCAAATCATCAGCATACATAACGTGGTTGAGCAATAGGGAGCCATCCCTTGACCGCACCCGGGCATGGATTAGCCTCCCATTATATCTGTACCATATGGAGATTCCCCCGGTACAGCTATTGAAGGCTTCACGAACTACGTGGTCAAAATAGATGTTAAATAATGTGGGAGCCAGAGGACATCCCTGTCGCACCCCAAGGTGTACAGGGAATGGCTCTGACTCCCGGCCACGTAGTTTTACCCGGGCCCGCTCACCATCATGAAGGTCCTTAATGATCGTGAGCAGAGGGTCAGGTACTCCAAAAGCACGAAGAACGACCCAGAGCCCAGGCCTACTGATGGTATCATAGGCCTTGACCAGGTCAATAAAGCAGAGATATAGGTCTTGTTGGAATTCCCTACACCTCTGCTGTAGCAGACGAACAGAAAATATGGCATCTGTGCAGGACCGCCCTTTCCTGAAACCACACAATCACAACACACACAATCACACACACAATCACACACACACAACAACAACAACAACCGCCATTCGCCACTAAGTGGCGGTGACGTCACCACGACGCTTGTGCCAGGCTATGTGCACCCTGAGGCCACGTGAAGTGTCGAACGCCCGCTGGCAGGAGGTCACGGGGCAGACCCAGGTGCCACGGGTCGACTGACTGAGATGACTGGCTGATGCACCACCTGTGCCCCCTACTGTGCCAACCTGCTGTGCTTTAGCCACCCGGCGCTCCGCTCGCTGTTGTGAGCGTCGCTCCTCCGCCCTCTGTTGTTGTTGGAGGGCGACTGCCTCCAACTGCCCAGTAGCATCCTTCACGAGCCTCCTCCACAGAGGCCGATCTTGACACCGCTGGTACCAGTCATCGGCAAGTCCACTCAGCTCCACGTCCTCCTGTACCACATCACTCCATCTCTTCTCTAGCCCGTGCCGCGCCCGCTTAGCCCCCTCAATCCGGCCAAACAAAAGCTGTTTCGGCATGCGGTGGCTGGGCATGCGGGCTACATGACCCAGCCATCGCAGCCTTGCCTGCCGGAGGAGCTCACCGATGGGACCCTGCCCAGATCTTTCAAGGATTTGTGAGCTCCTCACACAATCCAGTCTGGTTAAACCCAGGATGGATCGTAGGCAGGCCAGCCTAAATGTTTCTAACCGGCGAAGATGTTCCATTAGGGGGGTCCACGTCTCGCAAGCGTAGAGAAGGGAGGGAATGACCGTGGCCGAGAAGACCTGAAGCTTAGTGCGGAGCGACAGACCAGGTAGCTTCCACACAGCGTTACGCAACCGATGAAAAGATATTGCCGCTCGACTGATTCGGAGTGAGACCTCTGCTGTTAAACTGGAGCCAGTCATAAGCACACTGCCCAGGTATGGGAAACTCTCCACTCTCTCCACAACTGCCCCATCACCGATTGGGAGTTGTGGGGGTGGAGTGTCCGATGGTACAAAATACCCAGGCAGGTGCTTAGTTTTGGTGGGGCTGATGGTAAGGCCCCACCTCTTAGTGGCACGCTCCAGTCTCAGCAGCAGCGTCTCCAACTCCTCCTCTGACTGAGCAGCTATTACCAAGTCATCAGCATACATAACGTGGTTGAGCAATAGGGAGCCATCCTTTGACCGCACCCGGGCATCGATTAGCCTCCCATTATATCTGTACCATATGGAGATTCCCCCGGTACAGCTATTGAAGGCTTCACGAACTACGTGGTCAAAATAGATGTTAAATAATGTGGGAGCCAGAGGACATCCCTGTCGCACCCCAAGGTGTACAGGGAATGGCTCTGACTCCCGGCCACGTAGTTTTACCCGGGCCCGCTCACCATCATGAAGGTCCTTAATGATCGTGAGCAGAGGGTCAGGTACTCCAAAAGCACGAAGAACGACCCAGAGCCCAGGCCTACTGATGGTATCATAGGCCTTGACCAGGTCAATAAAGCAGAGATGTAGGTCTTGTTGGAATTCCCTACACCTCTGCTGTAGCAGACGGACAGAAAATATGGCATCTGTGCAGGACCGCCCTTTCCTGAAATCACACACACACACAATCACACACACAATCACACACAATCACACACACACACAATCACACATACACAATCACACACACACACAATCACACATACACAATCACACACACACACAATCACACACACAATCACACACACACAATCACACACACAATCACACACAATCACACACAATCACACAATCACACGCACAATCACACACGCGCACAATCACACACACGCACAATCACACAATCACACAATCACACACAATCACACACACAATCACATACAATCACACAAACAATCACACAATCACACACACAATCACACACACAATCACACAATCACACACACAATCACACACAATCACACACATGCGCACAAATCACACACAATCACACACACAATATCACACACAATCACACACGCGCACAATCACACACAATCACACACACAATCACACACACGCACAATCACACACACGCACAATCACACACGCGCACAATCACACACACGCACAATCACACACAATAACACATGCACACAATCACACACGCGCACAATCACACACGCGCACAATCACACACAATAACACACGCACCGACACGCACAATGACACACGCACCGACACACAATCACACACGTGCACAATCACACACACGCACAATCACACAATGACACACGCACCGACACACAATCACACACACAATCACACATGCGCACAATCACACACACGCACAATCACACACTATCACACACAATCTCACACACGCACAATCACACACAATCACACACATGCACAATCACACAATCACGCACAATGACACACACAATCACACACGCACGCACCGCACCGACACGCACAATGACACACTGACACACAATCACTGCGACACACAATCACAGGCAGTGAGTGATTGTTTTCATTTCGGAGGAACCTCACTTGGATCACTTCACGGTCGCTAACGGTGGCC